CGTGTGCGTACGCACTTACACACACACACACACACACACACACACACACACACACACACACACACACACACACACACACACACACACACACACAGTATTTATTTATTTATCTATCAACTGTTCATAATATCCCATATATGTGAATAATTTATTTATTTATTATTATTATTATTTTTTTTTTTTACTGTTCAATTGTAAGATCTATAGTCACGCGTATGGACTATCCTTGTGTTCCTGTCTGGTGTTTTGCTCCCCATGTGCTCTCCATGTCCTAGTTTCTCCCTCGTGTTTGATCATGCCAATATTTGGTTGTTCCTGTTCCTGTGCCCATTGAGTTCCATTTGATTCACCTGTGTTCCCCTAATTATCCTCTGTATATTCCGTTTACTTAAGCCCAGTGTTTCCTGTGTCTAGTGTTCGGTGTCTAATGTCATTTTGAGTCTCCTACGTTCACTGCTCTTTGAGTTTATTAAAGTCTGTTTGTTCAAGTTTATTCCTACGTCTCCTCGCTCCTCGGGACCGTGACAGATATATTTGTCAGATGTTGCTCTTTTATAGATCAGATGTCATATTTTCGTTTTGCTTAAGTTTCTCGAATGTTTCTCCCTAAAATTTCTTTGGTGAAATACAAATAGACACAAATGAGTCAATTCTTGACACAGAGTCAGAGTATAGAGCTGTAAAAGTCTGATGCTCTTTCTCTGTTACTGAGAGGAAAACATCTGAGAAACAGGAGAGACCAGCAAAAACTATTGAATTAATTAACAGATCTGATGTGATTTTGTGTCGCGTGGATGTGTGTGTTTGGTGCTGCTATGCACTGAGGCAGTGTTTGGTATACCGTGGACTTTGGGGGAGCCCACTTGTTTGTTTTTTTTTTATAACAGGGGTTTCGTGCATTTGCGCGTGGCTTACAATGACTTACAAAGATACATAACCTCTACAAGTGTATGCACTACTTGCTTTATGCAAGCACTATATAGGATAAGTCACTATACAGGATTTACCCTATTATACTTTATCGACACGAATTGATAGATGAAACAACAAACAGCCACCCACAAATAGTCTATAAACAAAGCATCAGGCTGTCTTTGAGTTCACATGAACAATGGTTAAAGTTACTCGTCGTCAGGCTACAGAAGAATACCATAATTCCTCCGTTCA